GTGCGTTCTACATGGTCTCCCTGAAAACAAGACCAAGTTGCGACAACGAGGTCAACCCACTTCTATAAAAACCTTTGGTTAGGAAACTGAAATTTTGTGTGCGTGTGTGTATGATATTCGCACAAATGTGGGTTTGGCGCTAAATTTGTTGCTGCATCTGCAGCGGGGATTGAAAATACGACTAAACAGATAAAAATACTAGATTGTATAAGCGTAGTTCAGGCAGAAATTGATTAAGATTTTATTAGATTGGCCGTTATTCACCTATCAATCTAAATCGGTGTTTTCGAACTGAGTAAATCCAAACTCCACCCCACCTTTGGCCAGCACATAACTTACACTTCTTCCGTCAGAAGTTTATGGAGATGCAAAATCTATCTTCTAGTATAATAACAACGCTTTTGAAGTCATTAGTGGAAATATAAAATCCAAGGGCCTTCTCATAAACCAAAAGCTACGTCAAAGATTTGAGTAAAAATTCACGATCCTTTGCCTGAACAAAGAAGGAAAAGCTGTTTTTTTCTAAAAAAAAGAAGTTGGATTGATGCACAAACTTGGGCTCTATTCCTCTCATTTATCTTTGTTACACTCTATATAAGAGTAAAGTGTAAATGCATAGCTTTGGGTTAAATAAAACTGAATATAGGTAGGTCGTTTCAGTTGATCTGTTATAGGATACTTCGAACTTTACTTGTTGGGGTTTACAAGTTATTCCATCAGATATCCATCATGAAATTAAACCACTATGGGACAGTTAAGTTTCGAGAAAGGGAAAGAGCAGAAGAATTTGCAAAATTACTTTAGCGTCAATAAATATAGTATAGCTTACCTAAGCTCATTATTTGTTTCCATAAATATAAAAAGGGTTAAAAACGTAGTTTTATGCATGAAATATAATATGCTACGAACATGACTGTTTCAGCTATTTATCACAAGACAATATTTTTGTTAATGCGTAAAATATAAGGACGTACCTAATAATTGGAATAATGGCATTTAAAAGGGTTTTACATCACAACGCGCATATTACGACTGGAATTTGCGATAATTGTAAATATTTTCAATTTTTATTGTTGAATTTAATAAGGCAAAACATCTGCGGAATCTTTATGGCTATAATCATTATGTGACATAGGACTTTGCGAAAGTGACGTAATTAATGCTTGTTTTGGCGCATTAAAATAAACCTATTCTAAAAATGAAGTTTGGCGAATACTAAAAGCTATGAATAAATCTGGAACTTGGAATGTCTCTCTCTTGATATAAGTTGAAATAATAACTTTGCATACTTTCTTTGCCTCATTTCAGTCTTTGGGAAAAGCTTTGTAAATACTGGCCAATTCTTCACAGCCTATTCACAAGATTTTTTTGTTTACACAATTTTGACCTTCTATATTGACACTCACCTCGGCCGGCTAGCCAGTTACTTCCCCTTCATTTGCATAAGCTCCCACTTCTTAAGGTTGTCATTTGGCTGGTGCCTCTTTTAGCTTTGTCTATTATGCTAACTCTGTCCTCCCCATCTGTCATATTCTATGTTCAATCGTGTTTATTGGTAGTTCGTGTGCAGAATACCCTTTTATACATTTTACAATAGGTGGATCCCCTATAGTATGACGAACCCGATGCAATTTATGATAATTCGTCTTTGGACCTACTTGTATGGCGAATGAATCAAATGGAATTTAAGTAAATGAGTTCATTGGTCAATTGTTGTTCGCAGGCGCATTCATGCCTACTATTTCTTTGGCGTTGAAAGTAACAAGGCACCCAAATCTCCCCAAAGGTATTTCATGATGGCAAGGACTACTTCATAAAGCACATTTCTTGCGTTCAGAGTTATATGCTTAACAGCTAGAATTTTCTGAAAGTGGGTTTTTAAACAATTCAAACTCATTTTGAGGACACTTTCGAGGTAAATCCATTAGCTTTCTGCTCTCGAGACCCTTTGGCGGATAGTCGAAGTTTGTCACTGATTCATATTCCAAAATGGAGGAAAGGTATAGTCGGCCCATTGCTAGGGCTAAATACCTGGTTTTGCAAGAGAGCCTCCTCCAGTCTCAAGTGCAAGTTGGCTAGTTCGTAGCCTAGATCGATGAATTCATGACATGCAGGTGTCATTTTTGTCATCAGGCCAACGGTTGTCAGGTGACTCTGTGTTTTCAACCAGGTCGTTTGGTCGTCCACACGCTCTGGTGGCGGCATTGGTGAAGAATACGATTGCGGATGACCAAGCTCGAGGGAGGCGCGTGCTCTGTTTCGTGGGAAGATGCGCGACGAACTGAATGAGTTGACTGGCCGAAGCAAGGCGCCGCCAGCTCGGGGGTTGCGTCCTTCTGTATTGCATGGGGGCGATGTGGCTAACCCAAAACTCGGCCCACTACCGGACGATAGGCCCGTGCCAACCGATGGGCACAGCATGGCCGAGGAGGCAGTGGAATGGGACCCACTAAGGTCGGTTCGAGAATGCGCATCTCTGACCTGTCTATTAAGGCCCTCCGCGTCGTCGGTAGAGGTAGCCCCGTTTACTCGTCTCTCATACTCGATTGAATCAGTGCCATGGTGATTCGCAGCACTTTCTTCTGGCGGCTCAAATGAAGATATCGAGCGCAAAAAAGCACGCATCGATGGTATCTCCTGGGATATGAAGGCATTTATATGGTGGAGATAGCGCTCCTTCTCTTCAAAGTGTGCTTGGTTCGCCAGGGCTTGCAGTACTTTGGCGGCCAGGGTGAGGTTTCGTGATACGCGAGGCTCTTCAGGCACTTGGCTGGCCAGACCAAAGAGGACGGGCCCTAAGAGAGCAGGGCAGAGAAAGCGAAGGAACAGGCTGGAGGAGATGAGTCGGTCTGCGGTGTCGTGGCCGAACCTGGGCTCTACCGCCTCGCGGACACTGGCGAAGACGGATCTAAGCTCACTTTGAAATGATAAAATGTAATTTAAAATAGCAGTAAATAAATTAACTAAAAATAGACACAAAATATATTAAAGTAATCATTTATAAATCCTTCAAGCTATCTATAATTAAAGCTCAATGTATAGTCTTTTGCGGTTTATCCTTCCTCTCACCTGAATGGTTTCTAATTAATCCCTTCATTGTACAATCTATCCAAGCCCATTTGGAAAAAACTTTGATTAAATTCTAAATATTTGCATTTCCCTACTTGTGTGCTCCTTTTATAGTCAGGAAGTGGTATAGCTCGAAGTGCTTAGCAAAGAAAGTATGGTAGAGTAAACTATTTTTTTTGGCCTGGATATTCCTTTGCTGGGATATTTTCCTGCACTTTGGCACTCGTCAACATGATACTCTCTATGCTATTTAAGCTTATTATTGGCGTTAAAAAGTGACCAGATTTTTCTCCTCAACGTCTGCCTTGAACTTGTTGGTGTGAAAATTGCGGCAGAGGAATCGTTTACAAACTTATTTTTAAGAGTACGTCATACCAAAATATATGGAGTAAATAAAAAATCGAAAAATATTTGCATATTTAAAGGCAATATACATGTCCTAGCTCCGGGCAGCCATGAAATATTAGTTGAATAGAAATATTAAAGGTGAATGCGTCTCATTTTGCATTGAAAAATGTCTAGTAAAACGCAAGCTATTTTAAGTTTGTCATACGAAACTCTTATACATAGAGTGGATGAACATTGCACATTATTAGCTAAGCAAAAATCATATTTCGGAAAACTTTTATCCTTATTGCAACCAGTTAATAATTTAATAAAATCTGCAATTACAATTAATGAATACCACTTTTTACTCCCCCTAGGCCCTTACTGAGCATTGTCAATAGATCTGACAACGTATGTTTTTGTATAGGAGTTGTAAAAATTTGAGACTCATCTTTCACATAAATGTCAAAGTTTATCGTACCATATCAACGCTTTTAATACCTTACAAAGGAATAAATGTCTTTTAAACTACTCACATGGAGGTAAATAGTCTTAATTTTCATAATGGATTTTAACTAACTTTACCCTTAAACGCTCTTTTCGTCATGTGCTTAAAGAGAGTGGATATCGCATCTTCTTAGGAGCTGATATCTGGTAGGGCTTAATCAAGGTTAAACAACATCTCTGTTTGACAAATGAGTTTTGGTGGTTATCAATTAAAATAAGGGAATATTTATTTGGATGCTATGACAAAATAAAAAATTATAGGCAAAATATTATTTAAAAATTAACAACTTTGATCAAAATTTTTCTGTCTAAAATATATAATAGCCCTTGCACAATCATGCAATATAATTATTACAAAAAGTAAAATTCTTACTTATTTGACTCAGCCTTAGGTTTCTTTAAAAATGTGTGATTCGAGGGAACTAGCTAATGTCTGATTTCTGATTTAAAAGGTTAAGTACTCATTAATTCACACTTAACATATCAAATGAAATAGCTCCCAATAAGTAGAAGGAGCTACAAGCTCTTGCTTTAAAATTTATTTTTTAATATGTTTGCCGCCATAAGTTTGTCTCAATTTGTGTAAAACTGGGGTCCAATTCCAAATAGAGGGCGAGCCGTCGGCCAGGCCAACTCTAATGAGTAAGGATGTTTGGAACTGTCAGACACTTTGAACTCCTAGACATTAGCTTAACTCTATTGTATAATAGAAAAAAACGTTTAAGCTATGCTATTTATACTGAACAGAAATTCTACTTCCTTTTAGGACTCTTTTAAAGAGCTAAATCCGCACAACAGCCATTTATAGCTTGCCTGGGAAAAGAGGATTGGCTTCCTGATATTTGACTCCAGATGCTTGCCACTCTTTGATCCAGAGCAGCCTGATTCCGGATTATGATTAAAGCCAATTTATTTTTACTGGGCGTTTCACGGTCATGATCTTTTTCAGCAGCTGCAGAAGAGGACGAGGAGGAAGAGGATGATGAAATGTGCTCAGAACTGGAGTTTCCTTCTTTTCCACTTAAGCAAATTCTGGAAGGATCTATCTCATAATCTTCGTCAGATTTAAAGATTTCCTCTATCGACCCCCGGAGCAAGATTTGAAGATACTACAAGTAAATAAAGAAAGCAAACTGATGCTCAAAGTTCATAAATGAGATGTATTCACTTTATTTCGTCTAAGGTTATAAACGTACTATTATTCCAGTAAGGTGGACAAGAAAGAGCTGCTAATGCCTCCTTCAGATTGACAGGCTATTAACAGTTTCCATAGTTGTTCTTTAGTTGTTATTTAAAAAATGCCCTTTGCTACGTCTTATAGTCGGAGTTAGTTGATATCTTTTTTCCTACGACAAATGTCGCATTAAGAGTTACTTTCCCCTAGGAGTTAAGGGATATGTAGCATGAAAATAACAAGAAATGAGTGATAGCTTTTGGTAGCTAAGGTAATAGCACAAAAGAACGATATAAGCCTGC